GGGGGGCCCGAGGCGGGGGGATGGGGGGACCGGAGGAACACAGGTGAAGGGGGTCGGGGGGGCCCGAGGCGGGGGGATGGGGGGGCCAGAGAGACACAGGTGAAGGGGGTCGGGGGGGGAACCGAGGCGGGGGGATGGGGGGCCAGAGAGACACAGGTGAAGGGGGTCGGGGGGGAACCGAGGCGGGGGGATGGGGGGGCCGGAGGGACACAGGAGAAGGGGTTCGGGGGGGCCGAGGCGGGGGGATGTGGGTCCGGCGGGGGATAGGGGGGCTGGAGGGACACAGAAGAAGGGGGTAGGGGGGCCCGAGGCGGGGGGATGGGGGGGGCCGGAGGGACACAGGTGAAGGGGGTCGGGGGAACCGAGGCGGGGGGATGGGGGGGCCGGAGGGACACAGGTGAAGGGGGTCAGGGGGGAACCGAGGCGGGGGGATGGGGGGGCCGGAGGGACACAGGAGAAGGAGGTCGGGGGGGCCCAAGGCGGGGGGATGTGGGCCCGGCGGGGGATAGGGGGGCCGGAGGGACACAGAAGAAGGGGGTCGGGGGGCCCGAGGCGGGGGGATAGGGGGGCCGGAGGGACACAGAGGAAGGGGGTCGGGGGGCCCGAGGCAGGGGGATAGGGGGGCCGGAGGGACACAGAGGAAGGGGGTCAGGGGGGAACCAAGGCGGGGGGGATGGGGGGGGAGGGCGGGCGGAGGGACACAGGTGAAGGGGGTCAGGGGGGAACCGAGGCGGGGGGATGGGGGGGGCCGGAGGAACACAGAGGAAGGGGGTCAGGGGGAAGCGAGGCGGGGGGATAGGGGGGCCGGAGGGACACAGGTGAAGGGGGTCAGGGGGAACCGAGGCGGGGGGATGGGGGGGGCCGGAGGGACACAGGAGAAGGAGGTCGGGGGGGCCCGAGGGACACAGGAGAAGGAGGTCGGGGGGGGGCCGAGGCGGGGGGATGTGGGTCCGGCGGGGGATAGGGGGGCCGGAGGGACACAGGGGGGGGAGCAAAAGGGGGTCGGGGGGCCGAGGCGGGGGGATGGGGGGCCGGAGGGACACAGGTGAAGGGGGTCGGGGGGACCCGAGGCGGGGGGATAGGGGGCCGGAGGGACACAGGTGAAGGGGGTCAGGGGGGGCACCGAGGGCGGGGGATGGGGGGCCGGAGGGACACAGGTGAAGGGGGTCGGGGGGCCCGAGGCGGGGGGATGGGGGGCCGGAGGGACACAGAGGAAGGGGGTCGGGGGGCCGAGGCGGGAGGGGGGGGGGATGGGGGCCGGAGGGACACAGAGGAAGGGGGTCAGGGGGGCCCGAGGCGGGGGATGGGGGCCGGAGGGACACAGGTGAAGGGGGTCGGGGGGCCCGAGGCGGGGGATGGGGGGCCGGAGGGACACAGAGGAAGGGGGTCGGGGGGGCCCGAGGCGGGGGATGGGGGGCCGGAGGGACACAGAGGAAGGGGGTTGGGGGGCCCGAGGCGGGGGATGGGGGGCCGGAGGGACACAGAAGAAGGGGGTCGGGGGGCCCGAGGCGGGGGATAGGGGGGCCGGAGGGACACAGAGGAAGGGGGTCAGGGGGACCAAGGCGGGGGGGATGGGGGGGGCCGGAGGGACACAGGTGAAGGGGGTCAGGGGGAACCGAGGCGGGGGGATGGGGGGCCGGAGGAACACAGAGGAAGGGGGTCAGGGGGAAGCGAGGCGGGGGGATAGGGGGGCCGGAGGGACACAGGTGAAGGGGGTCGGGGGGAACCGAGGCGGGGGGATGGGGGGGGCCGGAGGGACACAGAAGAAGGGGGTCGGGGGGCCCGAGGCGGGGGATAGGGGGCCGGAGGGACACAGAGGAAGGGGGTCAGGGGGGAACCAAGGCGGGGGGATGGGGGGGGAGGGGGCCGGAGGGACACAGGTGAAGGGGGTCAGGGGGGAACCGAGGCGGGGGGATGGGGGGGCCGGAGGAACACAGAGGAAGGGGGTCAGGGGGGAAGCGAGGCAGGGGGATAGGGGGGCCGGAGGGACACAGGTGAAGGGGGTCAGGGGGGAACCGAGGCGGGGGGATGGGGGGTCGGAGGGACACAGAGGAAGGGGGTCAGGGGGGCCCGGGGCGGGGGATGGGGGTCGGGGGATGGGGGGTCGGAGGGACACAGAGGAAGGGGGTCAGGGGGGGCCCGAGGCGGGGGATGGGGGGCCGGAGGGACACAGGTGAAGGGGGTCGGGGGGCCCGAGGCGGGGGGATAGGGGGGCCGGAGGGACACAGAAGAAGGGGGTCGGGGGGCCCGAGGCGGGGGATGGGGGGCCGGAGGGACACAGAGGAAGGGGGTCGGGGGGCCCGAGGCGGGGGGATGGGGGGCCGGAGGGACACAGGTGAAGGGGGTCAGGGGGGGGCGGAGGCGGGGGATGGGGGGCCGGAGGGACACAGGGGAAGGGGGTCGGGGGGCCCGAGGCGGGGGGATAGGGGGGCCGGAGGGACACAGAGGAAGGGGGTCGGGGGGGGCCCGAGGCGGGGGATTGGGGCGCTGGGGGGGGAGGGGCTGGCGGCGCCGCGGGCTCACCGCTGGAGGTGAAGTAGAACACCATGGCGGCGGCTGAGTCCCGGCTCCTCGGCCGGCCCGCCCGGGCTGCTCCCGGCTCTCGCGGCCCGCTTCTGGCGCTAGGACGCTCGTCACGCCCCGACTTCCGGCCGGCTTCCGGAACCGCGCACCGGAAACGGAAAGGCTCGCGCAAACCGCCGGCCGTACGCATGCGCCGGCGTCAGAACGGCGGCTTGAGCGCAATTAGAGGTCGGGGAGAGTGGGCAAGCCGTGCGCATGCGCAGATTTGGACTCTGGGCAGGTTGCTGTAGTAGGTTGTGCGCATGTGCGTTGCAGCCTTCTGTTGCAAGGATGGCTGTTTGTTGGTGGGTCCACGGCTCTGGAAGTTCTTGTCGGTGAACTTCCCGAGCTACCTCGTGTAGTGCCCAGTGTCCCCAACATGGTGCTGTGGTTAGCACACAGACCTGGTGGGTCTGCAGCTCTGGTCCTGCGTCACCTTGGCCACTTTTGGGGGGCGTGTAATGTTGCATTGGTGCAAATGTCTCTAGTGTAGACGCGGGCTTAGTGCCTCTCTCTGGAGCACTTAGTCCCTGATGATGTGGGCCAATAGAAATGCCGATAGACATTTTGGATTATAACTTCCTTTCGGCAGGGACTGTTGTTTTTGGTATGTGCATGTACAGTGACCAGAACAGTGAGGCCATAGCCCATTAGAGAGAGGCTTGTAGGCACTAATATTGGTTAAGGTAATCATAGAATCGTAGGACTGGAAGGGACCTTGACAGGTCATCTAGTCTAGTCCCCTGCACTCTTGGCAGGACTAAGTGTTGTCTAGACCATTTCTGACAGGTGTTTGTCTAACCTGCTCTTAAAAATCTCTAATGATGGAGATTCCACAGCCTTCTTAAGCAGTTTATTCCAGTGCTTAACCACCCTGACAGTTGCACCCTTGCTGCAATTTAAGCCCATTGCTTCTTGTCCTATCGTCAGCCCCATACAAATTTCAGTCTGACACAATCAATGCCTCAGATTCAAGGTAAGTGAGGTAATATCTTTTATTGGATCATTGTCTTTTGCTGAAAGAGACAAGCTTTTTGGCTAGACAGAGCTCGTCAGGTCTGGGAAATGGTGTTACAGATAAATACATGATGGAACAAATTGATTGGCATAAGTAATTAATACATACTCTAAGGGACAAGGTCGGTGGCGTAACATCTTTTATTGGAGCAACTTCTGTTGGTGAGACAGACAAGCTTTCAAGCTTTCTGCTGGTCCAATAAGAGATATTATCTCACCTAGCTTGGCTCTGTCATATCCTGGGCTACAAAAACACTACAAACAACAATCTTTTCCTGTCTCTTCCTCTCGACAATGCAGCAACATTCTTGCCCCATGCAGCAAAATTATTTTCCAATTTTGTTTTGGATTGATGGATTTTGTTTTTAATTTTGGAAATTACCACCATTCACCTCCCATTTTTTAAATTTCTGAGCAAGAGTGGGACCATTTAAATGCTCAAACACTAATAAGCACAGCAATCAAATGAACAAAAGCCTAGTAATAGTTAAGGACATCTTTTAAAGGCAAAAAGAAAAGGAGGACTTGTGGCACCTTAGAGACCAACCAATTTATTTGAGCATAAGCCTTCATGAGCTACAGCCCACTTGTGAGCTGTAGCTCGCGAAAGCTTATGCTCAAATAAACTGGTTGGTCTCTAAGGTGCCACAAGTCCTCCTTTTCTTTTTGCGGCTACAGACTAACTGAAACCTTTTAAAGGCAACAGTCTGCAAAGTTTTTGAAGAAAGAAATTTGTAAATGCTAACAGATTTTGGAGCTCCTGGGGCTGGATGGCTCAGGACACTGGAATTTCATCTCTAGATTGATAGTCTGAATTACAGCACGAAAGTCACAATCAATAGGAAGTCAGTAAGCATTCAGTAAGACTGAGGCCTGATCTGCAGTGGATTAAAGAGGTTGTCTGCCACAGACGAATTAACACGTGGGAGGGATCATGTTATAACACACTATGGCTTTCCAGGGGACTGCACTGTGGTTGCTAGGGCCGCACCGGTCCCAGCATGCAATACTCTATTCTGCTCACAATGCCACTCCCAGCGTGCAATGCTCCGCTTCGCTCTGGCTGTGACGCAAGAGGACTACAGCTTCCGGCAAGCATTGCGACAGGACTTCATCGCAGGAGGCCGCCTTTTTTCCCCTGCAGTGCATGGTGGGAATTGCAGTCTCCGAGACTGAGTGAGGGGCGGGGGCCAATGTTGACAATGGAAGCTGAGCGCGCCGCGTGCGTTCCAGAGCTCTGATTGGCTGGCGGGCGGTAGTGGGGGGTGGTGGTCCTCACGCCGTCGGGTCGTGGCTGCAAGCAAAGAGCTTGGCCAATGGACGTGAGGGACGGCGAATGACGACAGGTGCGTCCAATGGGAGCCGGGCTGGCCGGCGAGGGGCGGGACTGGGGTGCGCGCGCGCCGGAGCCCGCGCGGATTCGAAGGAGAGGCGGTTGGCGGCGGCGCTGAGGTGATTTTTTGCCTGGAGCTGCAGACCCCGGCCCTCTCTCGCACCAAGAGCGGCGGTCTCGGGGATTGAGGTCAGCGGCTCCCGCCTGAGGCGGGGGGCTGCGTGCGCCCTACGGGTCCCGGATAAATAGCGTCCTGGGAGGGATGGGGCCTTACCCGTGCGGCTCCTTAGGGCACAGGACCATATAGCCACACTCCACAGCAGCGTGGGGCAAGGAGGGGCAGTCCCCACCGCAGGGCTCCTGGCCTCTGATGTCAGAGCTCGGCCTAGGCCCTGGAGCCCCGCCCAGCGACCCCCCCCCCCCAGGACTGTGCAGGGGCGACCCTTCCTCTCTGAGCTGACGGGGGGCGGGGGCGGCTGGCACCTGCTCCCCCTCCCCCCACGCGGGGGCCTTGAGGAAACGCTGCAGGAGGAGCCAGCCAGAGACTCCCCTAGAAGCAGCCAGAACAGGGAGCCTCCGGGAGCGTTGTGTCCTTTGGAGGGGCCTTTGCCCTTTGCTGATTGGCTGTCTGCTCCGGCCCCCTCCCCCATCTCTTCCCCTCCGCTTAGTTCCACCCCTGCCTCCCTCATCCTCTTCTCTCCTGCTTTGATCCCATTGCCCCCCCCACCTGCCCATTTTCTTTCTACTGATCCCCCTCTTTCTTACTAATTCTCCCCCCCCAACCCCCCCCTCAATCCTGGCACTGAAGTGCTGTTTGCTGCCGTCACACTGGTGACGCCTACACAGCCTGCAAGGTATGGGCACTTCATGCTCCGCTAGCTTGGCAAAAAATAGCAGTGTAGATAGGGAGAGGTGGCTTAGTAGAATAGCATGCGCTACATGCCTGATCCTCCAGGTTGTATAACCTACATGGGATTTCTACATGTCCAAACAATGCCGCCCCCCCATCTATGCTGCTATTTTCAGCAGTGTCGTGTCCTACTGCCTCTCTTCACGCCCCCCTCTCCCCAGAGCCTTTCCATATGGTGTGTAGCTACCACATGTAGTGCCAGTAGTCTACCCCTGCTATCAGTGTAGATGTAGCCATTGTTCGTTTTGCTGTTGTGTTCTAATCTACCCCCCCCCCCATGTGTATGTCTGGTCTATTTAGACTGTAAATTCTTCAAGTCAGGAACTGTCTGCCACTGTGTTAATACAGTGCCTAGCACACTGGGGCTCCGTTCTTGGTTGATCCTTAGCTGCTACTGTGATTAATAATACCTTTCCTCTCTCATGTTTTGCTATCCTCATTATGGACCTGACGTGGGTTACCATGTAAAGAAGGAAAAAACGGTATTTTGTTCTGTTTGTGCCCAAAGAAAGTGGAAGGTTGTGGTCATCTTTAGCTATTTTGCACATAATTTTCTGGTCCTTGTGTGTGTTCAGGAAGGAAAGTTTCAAAAAATGAAAAAAATAGACTTGCAAGCAGTGGTCTTGGTGGCTCTGTAGCATTGTAAAGCACTGATTGCTTGCAAAGTAACTCACAACTTCAGATCAAATAGTGGAGCAGAGAAGAGCAAGTAATAAATGCAGAATGCTGCCATCCCTCTCTGGGGTAAGAATCTCATCTGGTAGTTTTTCACTCTCTAGATGCCTGGCCAGCTTTCATATGGAAATAGTGAGGCTTTTTTAGTTTAGAGAGAAGACAAACTGGGATATGCAAAATTAATGGTGTAGAAAAAGTAAATGGGACACTTTTATTTACCTTACCCATAAGGCAAGAGCAAATCGACATAAATTAAATTGAAAAGCATTAAATTTCAAACTGATAAAAGGAAATACTTATTTATCCAATGCATAACTAACCTTTGGCCACAAGATATGTTTAAAGCCAATATCTTAATAGGATTCAAAGAAAGGATTGGATATTTATATGAATAGTGAGCATATCCAGAGTCCTATTAGTTAGGATAGCAATTTTTTTATTACATAGGTTATAAACCCTCATGCGTCCAGGCAGAAGTGAACTGCTAACTGACATGGGTCAGGAGGAAACTCCTCTTATTGGCAGATTAGTCAACAATTATACCTTATCCAGGTTTCTTGCACCTTCCTCTGAAGCATCTGGTACAGCATTGAAGATAGGATGCTTGACTACAGGGACCACTGTCTGAGCTGGGATTTCAGTTCTTTTGTTCCATGAGGGTCAGCTAATGTAAAGAGACTTCTCCAGCTTCATTGTAACTCCATCTACATTATGGCTTAAATCAAATTTGGGAACTGCCATTTAAACATTGCTGTAAAATGGTTTGGCCCTATTTATGTTGTCTCACCAAATTCCTATCTTTATTATAGCCATGTAATACCACAATCAATGAACTATATAAAAGAATTTTAGGCACACTGGCATTATGCAATAAGCAAATATTGCGGTACACTAATGTATTTGTAGATGGCACATGAGAAATGGCCTTTAATACTTTAATTTAGCTTCAGTACTGATGGGGCTTTTTGTTTTCCTTGTCTCCTCAAAAGGGTTTCTTCGTAAATCCTTTCTGCCTGAAGTTTCTCATGTGTGGTCCCCTGCCAAGAGAAGGCTTTTTTCGGGAAAGTTTGAGAATTAATGGGCCATGATATTTCGGAGATGGAAGATATTTGGAAATTAGGTTTAGGAATAGTCATTTTCCTTTAAATGTTCTTTCTTTAAAAATAAGAAAATGTTTACTCTAGAAACCAATGGAAAGTGGCCCTTTTAGGTTGGTATGCGTGTGCTTGTTAACTTTTTTACTTAGTATTACAGATATTTTAAGCCTATTTTAAAGAGTGAATGTTATATCATTTATAATACGGTTATATTTCTGTGTAATATAACTTCATAAATTATATCTTGAAATGTCTTCTAACTTTCAGGCACTTTATTGAGATGGCAGCTGTTACTCCAAGAAAAAGGAATCGTAGTTCTTCCAGCTCTGATAGGTGTGTTTATCTGTTCATAATCTTGTCTTTGCAATTTATTACACTGAAAACAAATTATTTAATAGTTCACTTCATGTACTGAGAACAGAAGAAATGTTTTAATTCCCTCAATGCTTTTACTATAAAATGGGGGGGAAAGTTATGAGATGCAATAACTTAAGTGGCTTTTTCATTCTTTAGTAATGCATAATGCTTTATAAATGTATTGTACTGAGCAGCTTGACAGCTTTATTTAAGGTAGAAAGAAACCCTAAGCTGTAAAAGATTCTACATCTAATAGAATATATAGACTTAAAAATTATGACTATAATTTGAATATGAATATATAGACTTAAAAATTATGATAAAAAGATTAAACTGTCTGCTGTAAGTCTGGGTTAATGGGGCAACAACACACTGGTTTGTACTGGGGTGGTTTTATCTTACTTGGAAATCACTTGTATCTAGTACTGTACATTTGCATAACTTTTACAAACTGCAGAACTCACTCCCAGCCCTAATGAGGTCACAAGATGGTTCCATTATTTAATTTTGAAATGTAAATGTATAAGATACTTTAAAAGGAGAGATATTAGTGAATTAGTAGTTTTACATTGGATCAAGTGACTTGGAAACTGTTTTACAGCTCTCCTAAAGGAATATAAATGGTGTAGTTTTTGTTTGGTTTTAAATTTTGACACTTAAGCTCCCAGTCCTGCACTGTGTTCTGCAGGGCTAGGCTTTTGTGCCTGCATGAAGCCAGACTGACTTCATGTTTAAAGGGGCATTAGCTACTGGAATTTTAGTGACATTAAAAAAACAAGTTTAAAAGTAGTTTCAGGTAGTAAACTTGCTCTGACATATTCATGTTTTTCTCATTGCTGTGTGAAAGACTTGCAAAAAAAGGGAAAATTGTACACAGTATGATCTGCCAAATGCATAAAGGATACAAAAATAAAAGAAAATGTAACTTTTCCTCTGTTCTTTTAGTTGTAGTAATCATAGGTGTTACTCAAAACAAGTTGAAGAAAAAACATTTTTGGAAGTGTGATTTTAAGTTGAGTGTTGCTCTAAAATGAGCCAAGTGGGGAAGATTTACAATATTTTTTTCTCTGCTTAAGGGAATATAAGATGTCAGATATTATTCTTGGAGCTCTAGTGGCAGAATTGATGCTGCTTATGATTAATAAAGAAGTAAAATGGCAGTTGTGCTCTAAGGGCTTGTCTGCACTACAGATGCTACAGCAGCATAGCTACGCCACTAGCAATGCTGGCATAGCCCTGTACCATAGAGGTAGCTGACCGAAGGGGTTTTTCCTTAGGTCTAGCAATACCCCCTTCCCAAATGACGGTAGCTACATTGACAGAAGCATCCTTCAGTCAACACAGCGGCACCTACACTGCGGGTTAGGTCAGCATATCTGTGTCGCTCAGGGATGTGATTTATTTTATTCACACTCCTGACCGAGGTGGCTGTCAGCCTAACTTTTAAGTGTAGACCAAGCCTTTAATACAGGCAGGCAAAGAGATCTATTTGTCACTACTGTTAGGGGAAAAATCGTAGACCCTGTGCTGCCCTCTGTTCATATTTTCAGGTCCCAGTGACATTTATAGAAACTGTAGATGGAAGGTAGTATACAGCTCTTTATTAAGGTGCTTGAATACTACAGTGAGTGTGGTTTAAAAAAAACAAAACACCCTAGATAAGTTCTGTGATTATTTACCAATAGAGGAAACTGTTTTAAGAAAAACTTTAGTGTGACTTAAACAGAGCCTTGACTATGCCTGAAGGATTCTCCAATCTGTAGAAGAGGGAAATATTTGTTTTATTTTTTTATTTTTGTAGCATGTTCTTAGCACTTGGGACTCCAGCAAAAAAATTGATGATGGACATCACCGTGGATCTGTCTCCAGTCAAGACATCTACAGATCGGACCTTTGCTTCTCGAACAAAATGGCCACCTAGATTTAGTGATGAGGATAAAGAAAACCAGGCTTGCCCTCTGAAATCCTCCATGTCAAGGAAGCTTGATAATTCCCCACTTCAGATAGCCAGCATCCCAATGACAGCATGTAGGGAGTTCCTGAGTAAAGTGTCTCCAAAATCTGGTTCCCCATACAAGCCCATTGTGCCTGCTGCATCCTTCTACAGCAAAGAAAAGCAGTATCTTACCCCACTGGAGAGGAAACTGGTAAATGAAAGCCGCCCTCTTAGTTGGAGGGACAACGATGGAGACCTCCCCACTGCCAATAGGACGGAGAAAGTACAGGGAAATATGAACCTCCTCAGGAATGCAAGCTCAAAAACATCCAAACGTCAGACTGATTCTAGGCACACCAAGATTTTACCAAGAAACTCTAAGAAAGCCAAGGTAGATATAGCCCCTGTCAAACCTGTTGTGGAAAAGGAGAACGTTATTCGCCCAATTGAAAAGAAAATGGAGGGTCCTTTCCGAGTCCTAAGCATGAAAATGAAACCCCTGCTGAAGCTCCAGATGGGAGCAGCATTCTTTTCCACTGGGAAGAAATCCCATTCTGGTCCTAAAAAGCTGCCTTCAGGCCTTAAATCCTCCCAGCTTCTCTCTAGTTCTGCAGCAGAGGGTGACCAGCTGAGACTATCAGGAGATACAGAGTTTCACTCAGATGATAAAAACGAAGTTGCCAAGGCCAGTGAGGTATCAAAATGTGCAAGTGTGCCCCAGAAGAAAGGGAATGAAGATAGAGAGGATAGGGTGAAATTGGCCAATAACATAAGTCAAAAGAAGGTCATTCACAAATTGAATGTCTCAATGCAGAAAGTTGAATTGATCCCATTCAGCCGCTCTGATTCCTCAAAGCCTTTGACTCCAGAGGAGACTGATACAAGGAACCTGGTAAGTAGCATGGAGAGTGTCACTTAAGATTTGTGTGTATATTAAAAGTGTGTACTTGCTTTGTTCAGCAAGGATGAAGTTGCATTGCTAGTTCTAATCATTCTGAAGCACAGGGAAAGTGTATGGTACTTTAAGTAAGGCATGTTTGAGAGCTGTATCAAAGAAAGATATTCCTTAAAGATTTTCTTCTGATTCATGTGACCTCAGGCAGTAACTAGAAAGCTCTTTGTCAGTGCGGGTTTGAATTCCTGAGCATGTGGATGCAGGATGCTGTGGAGTAGGGCAGCGCTGAAACTAATAACTTAAATCCATACTTCGAGTGACATATGTAAATGTACACAGAAGTCTTGAGAATTGAACTCTCATCTCTTCACTGCTGCTTTGTTCCATCTACTGGTCACTATTGCTATTTAGGTTTAGGTTAGCTGAGAGGAAAGCTTACCCAAAAGGAGTTTTTGTAAAATTGGATTCATACCCTTTTTTACTTTCTTTAATGCAGCATAAAAGTCAGTTAAAAAATCTGCTTTTTTAAAAACCTTATAAATATCAGGAATATGAAGTGTGGAACTTCCTTGTTTGGCTGGAGGACTCGTTGAGGCTCAGATTTATAGTCCGAGCATTCTCCTTGTCTGTGTCATATCTATATCCTAACATCAGTATTGAATCTTCAACAAAGCCAACTTTTCTCCCAAGTGTACTTGGTGCAAGAGTTGCATAGTTATTAGTAAAAATGCAGGCTTAAACTGTTAGATTAAAAATCTCTTACCCTTTTAATTGTTCAGCTTTGTCGCTTAAGTCTTGTGTTGTCATTTAACTTGACCATTGGTTACCATAGAGCCTTCAGGGTAGACAAGACCTGAAATTGTAATGCCTTTAAAAAAAGGGGGGGGTGTGGGGAGAATATGACTTGGTAGTTGGGGAACTTTCAGGTTGACTTCATAAATCTTAACCATAAAGGCACAAACACAATATATTTGTTCTTTGTACTCTACCTTTAACGCACTCTGTCTACACTTATATCCCCTTTATGTCCTAATTAGGCTGGTAATTAAGTCTACCAGTAAGTATTGCATTTCCAAAATATTGACTTCACTTTTAAAAAAGCAATCTGTTGAGAGGCATAATATAAAATGGAAGGGACATCGAATAATCACAACTGTTTTTTTACTGTACCAAGAAGTGTGCGAAGCCATGGGTTCCCTGCAGTTCCAAGGAATTGATAAGTAGCATACCCTACCTGATCCTAAAAGATCAGGCTCAAGTCTCCAGAGGAAGCCAGAATTCTCAAGGTCCCTGCCAAGGTACTCTCTTTGAGATGTTTCCTTGTTAGCCTCAGTGTCAAAGTGAAACAAACAATTGAGCAAAGAAACAAATCTGTTTCCAGATTTGTTTTGAGACTTCTTCTGGGTCCTGAGGATTCTGTTTGTACCCTTGCTAGTAGCCAGTGAGGCCTGAGTGGTGACTTGGGAATGCTACAAATGAACTCCAATCTTGAATGCAAAGATTGCCCTAGAGTAATTCCTTTCCTTGTAGAGTCTGTGTGCTGGTTCTACAGATTCCCCAGTCCAAGGGGTGAGATTAAACCCAATCTTATTATGCTTAAGTGAAGCAGTAACAATGGATTTACTGAGCTGGTCTCTATCCAAAATATTTTAACCTTTTAGCTTCTGAGGATGGTGGCTCTTCAGTATAAGATAAGGAGCAGTATAAGATAAAGGGGCGGGGGGGATTTTGCACCATTGTTCCCCACAAATTCCTTCTCTGCAGAAAATACATTCTGCTGGAGAGGTGCTGCAGTTGCACCTCTTGCCCACCAGAGGCTGTTGTGGCACCAGAACAGAGAGCAGGTGGTCTCACTGGCAGTAGTAGCCGGCTGCGTTCCTCACAGCAGCCTACTCATGGAACCTGGTTAGGAGGCACAGGATATGGAGAGGGAGAGATGGAGCGGAGCACACGGGGCTGCTGCGGGAGGTCACATATACTGGGGTTCAGAAGGGCTAGTGGGAGGGACAGACTGGGGCAGGGGCTGAATGGGAATAGGGGTGTGGGGAGATGGAGGAAGGGGCCGAGGGGTTTGCTGGGACATATGGGGATGGGGGAAGTGGGGTGCAGGGCCACATGGGGATGGGGCAGATGTGCCTGACTGAATGGGAGCTAGGGGTCAGCCAGTGTCTGCATAGGGAAGGCTCCCCAACTCCCTAACAATCACTCCCCTGCCCCCCCCCAAAAAAAAACCCCCGAAAACCTGTTCTGTACTTCTCCCACCCATACCCAACAACCCTCCAGGTTCACTCCCAGGCTCCTTCCCAGCAATTACTTCACTCTCCCTCAGCTCCTCCATTACCCCTAACTTCTCCAAGCCGTTGCAACACTTCTGAGGGATCCGGGAAATACAGTTTTGGATTGTAGTTTAAATGAATTATCACTCAAAGTTCTGTATTAATATGCCTAGTAAGGAATCTAGTTGTCAAAAAACATTTTTTGAATTTTTTTTGCTGTCTGTATTGTTACAAACATACTTGCTGACAGATATTTTGAAAAAAATCACCAAAATAATTTGAAGTTGTATGATTATATTGTGTTAATTTTGACAAATATGTAGAATTTTTCAGAATTTTAAAATATTGCATGCAGAATTTTTAATTTTTGGCACAGAATTCCCCCAGGAATAACTTATTAAGCACTGGTTTCAGAGCAACAGCCATGTTAGTCTGTATTCACAAAAAGAAAAGGAGTACTTGTGGCACCTTAGAGACTAACCAATTTATTTGAGCATGAGCTTTCGTGAGCTACAGTGTTCAGTGCTATACAAGAAAGGAGATGTTCTGAGAGGATCTAAGTCCAAACAGATGGAAAAGTGAATGCACAATGAGATTTGGCGGAAACTTTTAGCTTAGAGCATCTTTCTTTTGATAATAGGTGGCTTGGTGTATGTAGACTTGGAGACAGGGTGGGAATTCGGACATAGGAGGTAGTATCAGAGAAGATGTGAAGCTGAGAGTGGGAAGGATAGAAAGTGCAGTATAATTCAGAACGAAGTTGAAGAAGGGTGGTGTAGGCTTGGGTTCAAAGAGATGTGGTAACATGTTTATCAAGTGGAGTGCCCCAAGGTTCAGTCCTGGGGCCAGTTTTGTTCAATATCTTCATTAATGATCTGGAGGATGGCGTGGATTGCACCCTCAGCAAGTTTGCAGATGACACTAAACTGTGAGGAGTGGTAGATATGCTGGAGGGTAGGGATAGGATGCAGAGGGACCTAGACAAATTAGAGGATTGGGCCAAAAGAAATCTGAGGTTCAACAAGGACAAGTGCAGAGTCCTGTACTTAGGAGGGAAGTATCCCATGCACTTTTACAGACTAGGGACCGAGTGGCTAGGAAGCAGTTCTGCAGAAAGGGACCTACGGGTTACAGTGGACGAGAAACTGGATATGAGTCAACAGTGTGCTCTTGTTGCCAAGAAGGCTAATGGCATTTTGGGCTGTATATGTAGGAGCATTGCCAGCAGATCGAGGGACGTGATAATTCCCGTCTATTCGGCATTGGTGAGGCCTCATCTGGAGTACTGTGTCCAGTTTTGGGCCCCACACTACAAGAAGGATGTGAAAAAATTGGAAAGAGTCCAGCGGAAGACAACAAAAATGATCAGGGGGCTGGAGCACATGACTTATGAGGAAAGGCTGAGGGAACTGGGATTATTTAATCTGCAGAAGAGAAGAATGAGGGGGGATTCGATAGCTGCTTTCAACTACCTGAAAGGGGGTTCCAAGAGGATGGCTCTAGACTGTTCTCAGTGGTAACAGATGACAGAACGAGGAGTAATGGTCTCAAGTTGCAGTGGGGGAGGTCTAGGTTGGATATTAGGAAAAGCTTTTTCACTAGGAGGGTGGTGAAACACTGGAATGGGTTACCTAGGGAGGTAACAAAGGGAGGCTTGACAAAGCCCTGGCTGGGATGATTTAGTTGGGGATTAGGTCCTGCTTTGAGCAGGGGGTTGGACTTGATGACTTTCTGAGGTCCCTTCCAACCCTGATATTCTATGATTCTATGTTCTGTGGCGGAAAGAAAAGGATTTTAGGTGCTGTCTGCAGAATAGACTAGTGGAGTAAGGTGGGTATTAGGGAGACCAGCGAGGAGGTGGTTGCATAATAAAGAAGGGTGAAATTCAAAATGGCCAAATGTTTTGACCCAAACTTTCAAAAGTGCCTAGTGATTTTGGATGTATGAGTGTTATGGTGTACAACCTGAGACAATTTATAGGGGCCTAATTTTTAGATAGGTCTGAGCACTTCCAGCCAGGCTTCTTTAGGATGTCTCAGTCAATGAGGCACCTAAAATCACTAGGCCTTTGAAAAGTGGGGCCTCTAGTTCTAGGGACAGAGTAAGGGTATGACTCTTAAAAACATACCTTGTATGACAATCAAACGCATGTTCAGCACTCAAATGGTTTAAATTTAAAAATGACTCTCAAAAATCAACACTGATGAATTAGCTCCCACTAAGTCTTACTTTTGTGGGTTGCTAGAGAATTGTTTCGTTTTGGAGATAGGTTCTGGTTTCTAACTCAGTGTATAGATGCCACAGGTAAGATTGCCAATGGAAGAGTGGAGCAATAAAATACCTAATGCAAACCAGGTTTGGGGCCTATTTCATTATACTTAATCTCACATTTTACTTCTATTTTCTGGCACCTAAAAGGTGTTTGGAGGAGAGGATAAGTGGTATTGAAATGCTTTTTCATAGCTGTACTGGTCCTTGAAGGAAAACAATAGACAAGGTGAGTATTAGCTTTTATTGGACTAATGTGTTTTATGCTCCTGTGTTGGTTTAATAAAGAGCTATTTATTGCCTTCTGTGTTCATTTGTACTGTATTAATGTATCCATCACATTCCTTACTTGATTGCCAGCGTGTTTTTACAATACAACATTAATAAAATACAAATGTTGGGTAGGTCAACAATCTTGCATATAAAATAAAAAATATAACTTCAAAGCAGCTGGGCCTGCTGTGGTTGCAGGCTCTTAGGATAATAAACTGCATTTTCAGAAGCCTTGGGTGTATGGAAATGAATTTGTATCACTGGATTTGCTATCAAAAAATTATAGGCCAACTTTGTGCCTTGATCTAGTCTCAAACAGCTCCTGTTTGACTTGATGGTTTTAATTGGTGGCTGTCCATGGGATTATGGTTTTCGTAACGGGGAGGGGAGGATTAATATGTTCTAGTTGTCATAGAAGCTAGAAGTTGGGCAGAAGTTTAAGGTAAAAATCAATCTAACATGGTCATTCGTTGAATCTTTGCAGGAAGTTCCCAAAGGCTTTGCAGTTTCAGAATTATAGACACCTGTGTAGGACCAGGATACCAAAAATATTGAAATGAAGAAATAATCCTACAGAACTGCAGCTAGAAGCAGTAGAAAGCCACGTGAGGGACATTGACAACTTGCCGTAAACCTGGCCATAAATAACTTGCGCCCCCCCAAAAAAGCTTCTTCAATACTGAGGTGCAGCCCATGAGACTGCAGATTTCAGCATACAGTATTATCCAGTAATGTTCAGCTCAAGGTGGAGCATTACATGGTGGAACCTCTAGCCTCTGCAAACCACGTTTCTGTATTGAAGAGGATAAAGGCTGTTAGTTGCATTTCAGAATATCCTTGGCCACATTTGGCCTGTGCCCTGAGCACTTGAGCTACGTGAGATTGTGTAACTAGCAAACTGGAAACTAAGTCAAGCTGACAGGTTTTTCTTTGAGAATAGAAAAGGAGTACTTGTGGCACCTTAGAGACTAACCAATTTATTTGAGCATGAGCTTTCGTGAGCTACAGCTCACTTCATCAGATGTATACCGTGGAAACTGCAGCAGACTTTATATACACACAGAGAATATGAAACAATACCTCCTCCCACCCCACTGTCCTGCTGGTAATAGCTTATCTAAAGTGATCAACAGGTGGACCATTTCCAGCACAAATCCAGGTTTTCTCACCCTCCACCCCCCCCACAAATTCACTCTCCTGCTGGTGCTAGCCCATCCAAAGTGACAACTCTTTACATAATCAAGTCGGGCTATTTCCTGCATAGATCCAGGTTTTCTCACATCCCCCCCCACCCCCATACACACACAAACTCACTCTCCTGCTGGTAATAGCTCATCTAAACTGACCACTCTCCAAGTTTAAATCCAAGTTAAACCAGAACATCTGGGGGGGGGGTAGGAAAAAACAAGAGGAAACAGGCTACCTTGCATAATGACTTAGCCACTCCCAGTCTCTATTTAAGCCTAAATTAATAGTATCCAATTTGCAAATGAATTCCAATTCAGCAGTTTCTCGCTGGAGTCTGGATTTGAAGTTTTTTTGTTTTAAGAATTTTGAGAATGTTTATCTGTATTACAGAACTCGGATGAAGCTGGATCTTCCATAAACCGTGAGTTCAACGATCAAGAGAATATTCCTTTCAGTCAGTCTCCAACAGAGAATAATAAAGGTAAATAATGCTGTAGCTGTATTGGTCTAGGCACCTGTCATGATGTTTATGTCCCAAGATCACTAAGTAAGGAATTATGTAGCTCAACTTCATAGAGAGTATTTTTCTTAAAGGGATTGATTATAAAATTACTGTTTAGGCCTCTCTTCTGGCTTGCCTCTGTATTGCTATCTGTTTTCTGTGTCTGATGTGGAATCTGATGGGAGGGAAAAATGCTGCTCTTTGGCTATTGGCAAATATAGTCAAAATGCTATGGAAATTAAAGGCAGTCCAACAGCTGAACTATGAAGAAGGTCTTCCACCCTTGTGGGACAATATTTACCTTTTTTTACTTTGTTTTCCTCATCAATTTTGCTAAAAAGGGACTGAAATTTCTTCTGTTGCAGTGAAGTCTAGTGCTGAATTTGTGACATCACACTTTCTCTAAGATTGTGAAACCATGAATACAGAGTATGCTTTAGCTATAAGATCACAAGTTGGGAAAGTCTGGGTTACGAGAAATGGTGTTAGACATAATTTTATTAATAGCAGAAGACTATTAAGCTATTGATGCAACAATTTGCTCTAATAAGAATTTTCACGTGTTCCCTGGTGAAGGTTCTACTGGAGATTTGGTTTGCCCTGACCCTTGGCTTGCAACAGTCTTTTTTTCAAAGCATAAAGCACAGGATATTCTGTCAATAGTTAATTGGATCAAAAATAGCAAGTTCCATATAAAAATATTGAGTGGGTTTTATTTGTTGCAGTACCAAAAATTTTCTAATGCTAATGTAAACTCTTGAGTATTGGGAGTTCAGAGTTTTTCATGCTTGTGTATCAATTGAAACTACTGGTTCACCTAGGCCCCTTTTCTAGATACCCACATGTTTTGTATCGTCATTGTGTCCAATACTAACAAATTGTGTGACTCTTTCCAGTGTCCCCTTCAGCAGATGTTGTCTATCCCATATTCAGTACACCCTCAGTCAACAAAGCAAGGTATGTCTGTTTTACTCGAACACTCTCCAAGAATGAGACAGAAGTTTGAGCAATACCTCCAAAAATCAGATTTTAAAAAATAAGAGATCATAAATTCCAAAAATAACAAACAATTTCTCTTTACCAGTGAGATGTGGTGAGGGCTGAGAAATAGCCATCATTAAGATATGAAAGTGTTGGATTTTATTTTTGAGAGGGAAGATGAAACACTAAACTGGGAGGAGTGGTAGATACGCTGGAGGGGAGGGATAGGATACAGAGGGACCTAGACAAATTGGAGGATTGGGCCAAAAGAAATCTGATGAGGTTCAATAAGGATAAGTGCAGGGTCCTGCACTTAGGACGGAAGAACCCAATGCACAGCTACAGACTAGGGACCAAATGGCTAGGCAGCAGTTCTGCGGAAAAGGACCTAGGGGTGACAGTGGACGAGAAGCTGGATATGAGTCAGCAGTGTGCCCTTGTTGCCAAGAAGGCCAATGGCATTTTGGGATGTATAAGTAGGGGCATAGCGAGCAGATCGAGGGACGTGATCGTTCCCCTCTATTCGACATTGGTGAGGCCTCATCTGGAGTACTGTGTCCAGTTTTGGGCCCCACACTTCAAGAAGGATGTGGATAAATTGGAGAGAGTCCAGCGAAGGGCAACAAAAATGATTAGGGGTCTGGAACATATGAGTTATGAGGAGAGGCTGAGGGAGCTGGGATTGTTTAGCCTGCAGAAGAGAAGAATGAGGGGGGATTTGATAGCTGCTTTCAACTACCTGAAAGGGGGTTCCAAAGAGGATGGCTCTAGACTGTTCTCAATGGTAGCAGATGACAGAACGAGGAGTAATGGTCTCAAGCTGCAGTGGGGGAGGTTTAGATTGGATATTAGGAAAAACTTTTTCACTATGAGGGTGGTGAAACACTGGAATGCGTTACCTAGGGAGGTGGTAGAATCTCCTTCCTTAGAGGTTTTTAAGGTCAGGCTTGACAAAGCCCTGGCTGGGATGATTTAACTGGGAATTGGTCCTGCTTTGAGCAGGGGGTTGGACTAGATGACCTTCTGGGGTCCCTTCCAACCCTTATATTCTATGATTCTATGATTCTATGACTATTCTTTCTTTGGGCTAAGCTGCAGACTTGGAATTTAGAGATGTGGGTTCAGTTCCTGGCTCTACCACACTTTACTTGTGTGATGTTGGGCAAATTACTTAATCTCTGTCTGCCTTATTTTCCCCATCTATAAAGCGAGGATAATATTACTTTCCCCATCTTTTGTCTGACTTGTCATTTTAGTTTATAAATTCTTCTGAGCAGGAATTGTCTCCTATGTGAATCTGTCTAGCCTAGCACAGTGGAGCCTTGATCTCAGTTGGGTCCTGTATGTACTGCTGGAATATAAATAATAAAAATTGTCTAGTGGAATGGAGGAAGACAATATCAGGCCTTAGCATAGGGACTTGATACCCTAGTAATATTTTCCATCTCTGACTATTACTATCTTATATTAAGTTTCAAACTAGTGAAATAGTTCCTGTTTCTGAAGTAAAGTCATGTTTACTGAGATTATTTGAACTACAGTTCCCAGAATGCTTGTGTAACTTGCCCATGTGAATGTTCTAAAATACTACTAGGAGTTCTTGTGGCACCTTGGAGACTAACAAATTTATTTGGGCATAAGCTTTTGTGGGCTAGAACCCACTTTATCAGGTGCATGGAGTGGAAAATACAGGATGAGGTATAAATACATGAAAAGATGGGAGTTGCCTTACCAAGTGTGAGGAGAACACTTCAGTCTCCCTGGTCAGTCAATAACAGACCTAAAAGTGGCAATTCTTCAACCAAAAAACTTCAAAAACAGACTCCAACGTGAAACTGCAGAACTGGAATTAATTTGCAAACTGGACACCAACACATTAGGCCTGAATAAAAACTGGGAGTGGTTGGGTCATTATAAAACCTAAACCTAATTTCCCCCATACTAATTTCCCCCTACTGTTACTCACACCTTCTTGTCAACTGTTTGAAATGGGCCACTCTCATTACGACTACAAAAGTTAGTTTTCCTCCCTTGGTATCCTACTGTTAATTGAGTTGTCTCGTTAGACTGACCTCTCACTTGGTAAGGCAACTCCCATCTTTTCATGTGCTGTGTATTTATGCCTGCTCCTGTGTTTTCCACTCCATGCATCTGATGAAGTGGGTTCTAGCCCATGAAAGCTTATGCCCAAGTAAATTTGTTAGTCTCTAAGGTGCCACAAGGATTCCTCGTTGTTTTTGCTGATACAGACTAACAAGGCTACCATTCTAAAATACTGTCACTTCTTAAACTTCATGTCAGTTTGGTAGACTACCTTTCTGCTGCTCTTCTTTAGTAGTGTGGCTTTCTCTATATTGTAGTGATTAATGCTAGCAATATGACTGTTCCAGAAATGTGAGGGTATCTGGTACACTGGGAAGTACTATATGGAAGACCCCGTGAACTTTCAACCATCTGAGAAGTTCATATATCTAATATAATTGCACTGGGTTCAAGTGTTGTCTCTTGTTAAATCTTTAACTGCGTAAGGAGTATGATGTGGTTATACCAGATATGGTACAGTCAACGTTTCTCAGCTGATAAGCCTTTCCATAATACCCAATGCCACTGGTGTTCAGACCATCTTTTTTGTGTAAAAAGGGGATTGCAAGATAGAGAAGTTAAAAGTTGCCACGCAGATGTGAAAAGAATTGAAGCTTCTATTTTCTATTCGTGCTCTTCCCTTTGTTCTAACCCAACCTTTATCTAGTTGAGCATGTGTTTCAAAGGTCTGTTGGGCACTGGCCTTTAGCATTGCCCTTCATTATATTGCATAACTTTATAAGATTGATCTGTGTGATTATCTGTAACAATATGAACACCTTGTGCTGTTAAATAGATTAGTACAGTCCTGCAAATAATCTTCCTTGTAGAATATGCTCATGCTAATGTGTCCATGACTCTGATGACTTATTTGTTTGACAAATCCATTGCCATATTATGTTTCCAGTGGAAATGTTCTGTTTTCCCATGCAGAACAAAAACCACTAATCCCTCTGTCTTATTTAGTCATCTTTCTTTGGAGCAGATTGCTAGTAATCAAAACATTCTGATAGAATTTGTTGTGAACATAAAATCATTTAAAAATTGTTTTAGTTCTGAAAGAGCAAAAAAAAAAAAAACCAAAAAACCCAAATAACTTGTCAAACTTATAATTCTCTGCCACTTAAGAGTGTGTGTGAGAGAGATCTGATTACATATTTACATTGTTCCCTTGTGGGGGCTTTTCAAATACCTTCCATATTGATGCAAATGGAATTCTGGAATATGCCGAAATCCTGGTGTTTGTGATTAACTAAAATATGGCCTTGGATTTGCTGTTACCTCCTACACTGTCTCTTGGGAATAGATGAGTAGAAACTTTTTCTACTAGAACTATACTTTAGCTCTCTGCTTTGGGAACTGTCCTTAGCATCCAAACCTAGAAAACTGTTCAGTGCTTATCTCTGTTAATCCCATGTTAAGGCTGTTGTACAACAGCAAATTTAAAGTGGTAGTTCCTAAAGTAACCCTGCCAGCTTGTGTGTAGCTGAAGCACTAAAGGTAATTCTATAAAGCACCACTTATTTATTAACAGTTTTAATGTGTGCTTTTCCAAAGAGCAAGTTTCACATAAATGTTTTTAAAAATTCATATAAAGACTTCATCTGGGTCAATAGTCTCATGAACAACCCTTTCCAGATCTTCTCTCAATTTACCCATGCCCTCTATTAGCCTTACTATTTATTTTGAAAGTTTGCAAAACTTTGTCTCCATTGGACCAGAATGGAGAATTGAGTCCCAGAATTGAGGGACTTTCCCTGAAAATGCCTCCAATTCTATTATCTAAATCTGGTACCTGTTATTTCAGAATCTCAGATAATCTCCACTGCTGGAGCAGAACTCGGGGAGAGGTGGTCTGAGGTACTATAGGGCATGTGAAGGATGTGCTTGAGAGACCAAGTTACAGTTACTGTTGGGGCATTCAAAGATATCGTCCCAACTTTTTGTATGATTAATGCCCCAGCCTTAAACATTTTCATAGTTCATGTCCCTTTTCTTAAAGGGGGATGAGAGAGGGAGTGATGCTCCCGTGTTTGTGTGTATGGAGTAGCAAGGGCTTTCACCCATTGTCTCTTTTCCTCTGAGCACAGGAACACTTAGATCAGTGGTCATCAACCTTGTTAGAGCCACCATCCTCAGTGAATGTAAGGAGCAGGAATCCTGGCAGCTTAGCTCCGTTGACTCATATCTGCAGTATGGAGTGTCCTTGAGATCAGATTTAACACTTCAGATGTAGGCTCTTGTATTCTTCCTCTAGAACAGTTCTAGAGCTACAGGTTTGGGGTTAGAGTCTAGATGCAGTGTTGTTCCTCAAAGCCTTGACTTTGTTTTTTGGTGCAGCCCTTAGAACCTTGGTTGTTTACATCTCAATACTGCCATCAGTCCAGCTTCCTACTATCAGTTTTAGTATGGGGTCTCTTGAAACAGGAAGAACTAACCTGCACACATCTGTTGAGTTCCTTTGCTGGTCTGTTCTGGGGAGTTAGTCACGTCAGTGTTCAATCTGACTGAGAGTGTGAAATGACTAATTCAGATGCAACTCTGAAACTACTTTCAGACCACAGCCTTTCCCAGATGATCTGGCTTCTCCCCTGGGATTCAGCCCACCTACAAAAATGGTTCATACCTTCCAGAAAACCAGCAAGAAAACAAAAGACCTAAGCAAAGACTTTAAAGACCAGATGATCATTGTGAGTATCCCTCTGTGGGCTGTTACTCATTCTTAGGGGAGCTTGCGCTACCATGTGATAGTAGTGAAATGAGCTTTCAGGCTAACCAGTACTAGATTCCCTTACATATAAATCTCAAACACTGTATATGTACAGCTCTAATGAATTGTATAAATCTGTCTCCAAAACTTCAAATGTAAAGATTGTGCCACTATTTGTGAAACTCTTTTCTAAGGTTTACTTGGGGTTAAAGCTTTACTATATCTGTGAATAAATAGGAAATGTAGAATTTGCTATTAAAAATGCCTGTATGGATACCATAGGAGTGAATTTGCTTGACACAGAAATCCTTTGTTTCCTATTGCTGCATGATTTGTTGCCTGAGCAGAGCCAGCATAATGCTGCAGCCACATTAGTGGACAACTAAGGTCATGAAGGACAGTACCACAGTAGGGATGTTGTCTAAAACATTCTGTACCTGGGAGTTTATCTGTGACTGAAATGCAACCCCATTTAACCAATGGAGGGTTTCATATAACAGATATGAGGGATGAAATCCTCACCTAGTGCTGTCCTGTGTATATAGTTCATTCCCTTTGAAGTCCTGGCCTTACAATGGTATGTGACTGAATGGCATCATTAAGCTATTACCAGCAGGACAGTGGGGTGGGAGGAGGTATTGTTTCATATTCTCTGTGTGTATATAAAGTCTGCTGCAGTTTCCACGGTACGCATCTGATGAAGTGAGCTGTAGCTCACGAAAGCTCATGCTCAAATAAATTGGTTAGTCTCTAAGGTGCCACAAGTACTCCTTTTCTTTTAGCGAATACAGACTAACACGGCTGTTACTCTGAAACCTGTCATTAAGCCCCGTGTGTCACTTGCAATAAGCTAAGTCACCTGTATGCACACAGGCCTGGCTTGACATGAGTAATTGGACATAGGTGAGGCCTCATTTCTTGGGAGACAGGATTAGGGCGGTAAATGGATCAGCAGGCTGGGAACAGAATGTCTGTACTAACTAAGATAAGGGTGAACAACAGGGAACCTTTTACAGTGGGCAAGATAACAATGGATAAGATCTTTACATTTCTGACTTATGAGGTAAAAAAGTCGTTCATAGGCAGTGCGTGGACAGATCGTGCTGTACAGGGATTGGTTCCTACAGAGTAAGTAACCAAGGCAATCCCAAAATGTGATGCAATGTACCATGTAAAGGAAGAGGCCAATTCCCTGTGTTTGAGTCTCATCAATTCAGTGTACCTTTGCTATATGTCATATAGAGGAACCTGAGTGATGAGCCTGGAATTGACCTGAGGTCTTGGGGAACTCCAACAATGGATTCCCATTGTGCCTTACATTTAGAGCTGCATTTTTTATTACAGTTTGTTCTTTATTAATTTTATCTGCTTTTAAAAAAACCTTGGAGTTTAATTCCTTGTTTCCGCATTGCCTTCCAAAAAAACACAACAAATACAGAATGACTTAGTGAATTTTTGATATAAAAACAGGAGGCACTGTGGTCTGGAGGAATGACCATGGAATTGGCTAAATAATCCCAGCCCTGCCACTTGCTCACCTGCTCAGTCTGTGGCCTTATGCCATTCCCTCAGTCTCTGTGCTTTAGTGTTTCTAGCCATACAATGGCACCTATCTCATGAAGGGCATACTGTAGAGATTATGTTCATTATATGCCTTGAATATGTGAAGTGCTATGTACAGTTCTGAATAGTCTATAAAAAAAAAAACAAAAGCTTGTCCTCTGTCATCTCTGACACTTCTGACTTTCCTTTGTAATGACAGGATGCTGGACAGAAGCATTTTGGTGCCATCATATGCAAATCATGTGGCATGATCTATACAGCTGCCAGCCCAGAGGATGAAGCCCAACACATCCAGCATCACCAGAGGTTCCTTGAGGGAATTAAATATGTGGTAAGGCAATGGCTGATGCTTTTGCCAAAGAACCCTTGAAGTAGTACTTATTGTTGGGTATAGAGTTAAAGCTATACTAGGCAAAGGTTTTGTATCCAAATAACATGAACAAATTAAATTACTTATCTGTTATTCCAGCAATTGCCTTTTATTGACATATGTGAGCTAACGGGTTAACGTACGTGATTTGATTTCCTGCCTGCAAACTGGGAGGGTTCACATTACAACTATGGAGTCTCTTTTATTAAAGAAGCCTTAGCTGAATCCTTTTGTTTTTTTCTTCCTGGCAAATAACTTTCTTTTTTTCTCTGTGGTAGGGTTGGAAGAAAGAGCGTGTGGTAGCAGAGTTCTGGGATGGGAAAATGGTTTTGGTCCTTCCAGATGATCCAAAATATGCCATCAAAAAGGTGCAATATTTCTTTCTAGCTTTGTCTGTTCAGTGCCTAGCATGATAGGGCCGGGGTCTGTAGGTGCTACTACAATATTAATTCTAAATAATAATCACTTGTGTCCCACTTGTCAGGAGAAATCCTATTTAGTGATCAACCTCTCACTCAGTGATCACTCTGCAAGGAATTAACATGGCTGGTTTCTACAATACTTAGAGGAGGGATGAACTTGTGGCCGATTCATAGATCCAGGAGGCGGAAGATATGGGTTCTAGTCTCATCTTTGCCGCAGAATTCCTTTGTGACCTTGGGCAAGTCACTCACCTCACTGCAGATAGGGCTGATACCTACTTTTGTTTAAACTCTTTTCTTCTTTACAAATCTTGGAGCTAAGTAATCTTATGGCAGCCGTGTTAGTCTTCCAGTTTCTCTTATTCACAATCATGAGCAGTTAATTCACAGGAGTAGTCTCACTGGAGTTAATAGGGCTACTTGTGTGAGTGACTGCTCATCAGTGAAAGTAGTTCACAATCTGGCCCTAAGATACTTGAGGTAAGAACAGACTTTTGGGATACTGTCATTTGTAGAACATTGCTCTTGCTACCCTCTTGTAGAAACACTTGGTAAGAGCTTGTCCTCCATGCTCCAGATTGTTTGTAAAATCCAGCCTGAAACACACAACTTTCACACTAAGTGGAAAATCTTTAGCTAAATTGATTATTAAAAGAAATGTTTATACAGTTGTGTATGTTGTTTTTCTAGATTCTGTTGAAGTTAAACTACCTGAGGTGCTGGAAGTACCCAGTGGGTTTCTTTTGGTGCTGTTGAAAAGTAACACTGTTTAGAAGCCCAGTGGCTCTGAGAGAGGGTGTTTATGTACATGGATAGTATGGTGATTAGCAGTATAAGAGCCAGGAGAGAGATTTGCGGAGTGAGCAGGAATACATTAGACCAGAGTATCCTAAAATAGAGAGGGAAGTCCCCAGTCCTGGAGTCTGCCTAGTATAAGGCACTAGTGCTGCTTAGAGTTGCTGGCTTTCTGTGTGGCTTAGTTATTACTGTGCTTTGTTAAAAAGCAATGAAAACCTGTCTCAGCTGATTTGGAATCAGTCCACATAGCAGCTAGTGAGAAGCAGCTGCTGCTATGTTAACAAAGCTCCTGTGATTCAAGTCACAGGCTAAGTTTTGGCTGGGCCCTTCCCCTCACATCTCGTCAGTCATGGAGTGGGGAATACCAATCTGCTGCCTTTACCATGTGAGCTATGTGTCAGTGTGCAATGACACCCTCACCCATGACTTTAGGCTGAGCTCCCATCTTCCACAAAGACAACGGTTTGCATGTTGCATAAATATTAAAGGATAGGGAGAGTCTCTAAGAGACTATCTTTCTGTCTGTGGAAGAATGTCCACAATAGCATAAAGGATTGTCTACTCAAATGTATCAAGCAATGAACCTTCTACCATTCTGTAGGAGACTATTCCAGTTGCATAAATCTCACAATAGTGCACACCTACCAAACTATGTATTTGGCACAAGCTGCTAGTGCTTTTAATGAGTTGCTAGATGCTCTGCAGTTGGACAGTGAACTTCCATTGTGGTGATCACTGAGTTCCATTCAGGTGCACAAGCCCTCTGTTTGAAATCGATTACTTCTCTGAACTCAAACTATGTCTTTCCTAGACTCTTACGTGCATCTCTGAACCTCTTGTCCTAACATCTATAGGCAGAAGATGTGCGAGAACTTGTAGATAATGAACTGGGATTTAAACAAATTGTGTTAAGCTGCCCATCCAAGATTAAAACCTACTTTTTTGTGTCCAATGAAAGGAAGATAGTTGGTTGTTTAATTGCTGAACAAATCAAACAGGTATGTGTTCTAAATAGTATCTTAATTGTATAAGATGAAAGAAAATTTGCATTCAGACTCTTGGGGTTGTTAGCATTGATCTAAGCCTATATGTCACAGGTACTCCTGGCCTTGTAAAGGGGGGCAGGGAAATGGGGTTGGCTGGATGGTTTTAGAGCTCTACACTCTCACCATCATGAAAATGCAAGTGACAAGAATTAACCAAGTTGTTAGTGATGGGTGCAAAAATCTTCCATTCAGTGTACCTTCAGCTGAATTCAGATGTTGGGTAAAGGTGGTTTATGTAGCCATTTACCTTTCTTTAGAGGACCAGCATAATAAATAGTTGATTGCCTTTGGTGTTACAGCAGCAAACTCACCTGCATGAGTTTCCGTATTTCCCTTAGGATAGAGACTCATTTGACTTAGTGTTTGTCCTTGATAGGCATTCCGAGTGCTGTCTGAGCCTAATGTTCCGCAGTCCCCTAATCAGGATGTCCTGCAGCACCATCGTGCCTGGCGTTGTTCCATAAAGCCGGAAGTTGCCATTTGTGGGATCAGTAGAATCTGGGTGTTCAGCCTGATGCGGAGAAGAGGCATTGCACGTCGTATGGTGGATGTAGTCAGGTAAGGAAAAGGGATGCCTCTCCCAAAATGAAACTGCTAAGTAAGCCATTAATATGGATGCACACATGATGGGAAGAAGACTTCAGCTTGGTTTATTTTCAGGGGGAAGAAAGTGCTCACAGCAAAAACATTAAGTAAATGTTTTTAGGAAAGGTGTAAGCTAATGTATTTCAGCAAGTCTGAGAGGTTCATGTCACAGTGCAAAGAACTGATTGAACAGATTGAAATATGCACTTAGTCCGACATCAATCTGTGCCCTGGTGCTATTGTGGTGGGTGGAATAGAAATGCATAGAACCATGTAAGTATTGTGGCTTGGATTTTTGACAGTGCTCTCCTTTGGCCAGACTTTGCTTCCACTGAAGTCACCATGAGAGCAGAGTTTAGCCAAGGCTGAGCACTTTTCAAAACATCACCCTGTATGCTCAGGGTTGGGGTTATTTCACGTTTAACCAAATAGAATATAGGCTCTGAACCATTTAATAGGTGTGGGCTTTGTTTGCTTGTTAACCCTAAGTTAACAGTTGATGTTGGCCCAGTACTCTGAGAATTTGTAAGACTTCAAAATGAATAAATACTTAGTCTGCCATTGCAGTCTGTATTTCACATGTCTATTGTAATGCAGCTTCTTAAAACACCAGTTTATTCCTGGTAAGTAGCTGCTGTGGTTGGGAACCTTCACATTTCTAGAGAGTATGAAATGAATGGATTTTCTCTTTCATTGAGAACTGTTACCATCTTAGCTGGTTAGCTGTTGCTGACTGTTTTAAAATGCATCCTTCTGGTCACTGACCTGCAGATGCCTCCAAGCAACTGTTCTCCAGTATACATTTAATGTGCGAATGCACAGAGCAAGTTTAACAGATTACTATGGTGAACTTCACTTATCAAATCCTGACTGTGATATTGGTAATCTGAAACCACTTGTTTTCAGATTAAACTTCTGAATAAAATTGCTCTAGTACTGTACCTGCTATATTCTCCTGTTTCAAATATGGTAATCACTCCGGTGCTGCTGCTTTTTATGTCAAATTACATGGAGTAAAGTCTACCCAGAAATGGCTTCCCCCAGTTTGGAAAAAAGTGTATATAATGAAAATGCTGTCAAAGTATAGAAGAGGTCAGGGAACAAAACACAGGCATTTATATTACAGTAATAAGAGCCATATAAATACTGAGGCAGAACCAAACTCTTGTACTGCACTAATAACTGTCCTTATCTGTTTCAGAAACACATTCATGTATGGTTGTTACCTAAGCACTGATGAAATCGCCTTCTCTGACCCAACACCAGATGGCAAGCTGTTTGCAACCAAATACTGCCAAACCCCTAACTTCCTTGTTTACAATTTTATTAGTTAAGACCAATTCCAAACAATCACAGTTAAACTGAACTGGAGCTGTTTAGTTTGCTAAATGTAAAGCAGTTTTCATGTTTAATTGTCTTATTCAGCCATGTTCCATTTTAGATTCCTACTGAATGCTAACTCTTGCTGCTTGATCAAGTTAAAGGGCATGGAGTTAAAAGAATGTCACTTTCTGTACATAATTGTGTTCTGTATTTTAATGTTTGTACTTTATGAAACTAAACCCAAGTTTGATTCTAAATGTTTGTTCTGAAAGCTAAAGTTTTTATTGCAATAACTTGTAAATTTCAAAGATAATTATATTAATATAAAGATTTCTCTGAGTTAGATTTGGCTTGGATAAATGTCTGGCTACTTCATACCACAGGATATGAGGGAGACTCCAGCTAATCTTGAAACTTTATATGTATGCTACTTGCTTTGGTACAGCTGGAGACCAGTGTTCTGCTCTCTGTGCTGCTGAGGGAGATACCAGTGTTCCAGGGATGTTGCAGATATAGAATATACCTGGTGCTAGAAGTTGCATGCTGGGAGTCAAGTGACTGGGTGAGGACTCTAGACCTATATGGTACCTTTCCAGAGTGGGAGTTGCAGTGAACAGAAGATAAAGCAAAACATACCTGCTGGTTGCTGTTACTGACACAGCTCTAAAACTTACCTGAGGCAGGAGCGGATGTAAAGCACTTGTAGCTGTGGCCTGGACCCCTTATGCCCAAAAGTCAATGGGACTATTAATATGAATAAAGGGTGTATTTTTCAGTAACTTAGTCTAGATATGCTCAGATAGAATCTCCACCTGCTGCTCAGGGATTAAAGTTAAGATTGATCCTAAATCTTGCTGTAGACAGACTTGGTAGTATTCTTGCACTGGTGGTGGTGATACGGATAGTTTGTTCAATAAAAGTCCTCTGAAATTTAATTGGGTGCCTCATTTCTGAAGGTTACAAGTACAAGCAGTTGGATGATCACTTGCATCTTGGGTTCAGAAGTTTTTTTTAAATGAATCCCTTTATCCTATTTTAAGGCTCCAGCGGCCCCTTTGAATTCACAATCCCATGTAAATTTTCCTAGTCACTCAATTAGTCATTCTCTGGCTTGCAGGGTTGGTCTCCACCTTTCCACTGACAAATCAAGCAGCAGTAGTGCTAACTTCTTGCAACAGTTTTCTGCATTAGAGGACTCATGTGAAGGAGCCAGAGGGAAACTCTTTTATGGGCTCTATTTAATCCCTAGTTTCACTGCCATGCTATTCTCCAGGAAACAGGTGTGGTCTGGTCTTTACCTCCCCTAGTATCACATCTCCCCTTAACTATAAATATATTTGAGTGAAGTCCGACTACTCTTCCTGGCCTCTGCGAATTGAAATTGGCACGTATTTATTTCCCTCCAGATATAATCTTTCACTAGTTTTGAGGCATGGCTTGTTCTCTAAACTGATAATGCTATTACCAATATCTGTATTTTACTAAGGATGGTATGTCAGCCACTTCTCTCTGCTGCTGAGTCAGGTTTCTAAATGCAGTGGATTACTACTTTAGTTTCCTAGGATGTTAGCTAGGTGGACTGATTTGCTTAAGTGTCTTCAACTATTTTAACCTTTGTAAGCATACTGGGTTTTTTTTGCCCTGGCACAACCTGCTCATCAACTCTGATAAAACTCACCTGACTCATGGCCTTACAAGAGTACAAAATCTTTCTCCTTATGCTCTGGCTTTAATTTCTGTTTTGCTATCTTTGTTTTCCTTGTGTCCACTCCCCTTTCATTTTTGTTATGGCTACTAGCATATAATTAGTCTGCACTGAAGTAATTGGCCTACACTTGAAATGCTTGTCATTCTAGGTTCTTCACAGCCTGTTCTATACAGTTCTGTTAGAATGTACATGTGTATTTTGAAGTTGCATAACCAGGGAGTCCTCACCTTGTTACAAAGCTGTAGTCAAAAATCTACACAATTTGTTTCTAGTTCTTCTGACTAAAGATTCTTGAAAACAGTAACCACTGATGGGTCTGCAACTGTAGACAGCCCAATAAAGTATGAACTAACCTTCATTTAGTTGATTCTGAAACTTTTTTCTTTAAGGCCCCCCCCAACATGCTATAAAAACTCAAAGGCCCACCTGTGCCACAACTGGTTTTTCTTCCAATAAAACCTAAGGCTGGCATTAGGGAGTAGCAAGCAGGGCACTTGCCCTTAGCCCCAGGCTATGTGGCTCAGATTGTGGCTTTCTTTCCTGGGCCCCAGTGAGCTTAATGCTAGCCCTGTTTCTGAGACCCCCTAAAACCTGCTCACAGCCCCCACCCCATTAAGAACTATTGGTAGATAGAGCACTTTAGGGTAAGTGATGTCTTACTGCTCATGGTGGTTTAAGTATGATTGCCTCTTAGTTAAAGATTGGGGGGGGGGGGGGCTGCTCATGTTTTCCAGCTATCAGTAGCCTCCAAATGAGGCTTCTATGTCTCTTGCAGCCCATCAGTCCTATCTTGTCTGACTACCCTTTGCCTGGTTCCAGTAACACGAGGTGACTCTGCAGGCAAAGGCCAGAACTAGCTCCACCTCATTACCTCTACTAATTCCAACAATCCATAACAGTCTAAGGCAGGGGTTGGCAACCTTTCAGAAGTGGTGTGCCAAGTCTTCATTTATGCACTTTAAGGTTTCGCATGCCAGTAATACATTTTAATGTCCTTTTTTTGGAAGGTCTCTCTAAAAGTCTATATATTATATAACTAAACTATTGTTGTATGTACAGTAAACAAGATTTTCAAAATGTTTAAGAAGCTTCATTTAAAATTAAAATGCTGATCTTATGCCGCCGGCCCGCTGCCAGCCTGGGGTTCCATTCACCTAGGCCCGCAGCAGGCTGAGCAGGGCCTGCGGCCAGGACCCTGGCTGGCAAGGGGCCGGTGGCCGGGACCCCGGACCGGCAGCGGGCTGAGCTGCTCAGCCTGCTGCTGGTCTGGGGTTCAATCTGCCAGCTCCTGCCAGCTAGGGTCCCGGCTGCCAGCTCCACTGAGCCTGCTGCTGGACTGGGATCCCAGCCCTGCCCACATAAAGTGGGTACCTACCATCTCCCTTGTTCTAGCCCATTCTCTTTCTCTCTCTGCACTGAGCACAGGGCTGGGGTAGGAGGCTTGGGTATGGAGCGCTTACCTGGGCAGCTCCCATTTGGTGTGAGGGGTGCAGGAGCTCCCATTTGGTGCTCAGGGTGGGGGTGGGAATGTGCGGGGTGCAGGAGTCAGGGCTGGGGGCATGAGGGGGGTGCTGTAGTCAGGGCTGGGGGCGTGTGAGGGGGGTGCAGGAGTTAGGGCTGGGGGGTGGGCTGGGGTCACTCCCTGCCCTAAGGGGGTCACAGGAGGGGCCTGGAGGGAATATGCCCGTATTCCACCTCCTCTCCTCCCTGGAGCCGCTTCTCTGGCCATCAGCTGATGGGATCAGTGAGGGAGAGGAGGAGGGGCAGGAACCCAGCACACTGGGGGGACGGGGGGCAGAAAAATAGCAGCCAGCCAGCAGGACCAAGCTTCTTCACCCTGCAGGAGGTAGGGGGGCAGAAAAGAGCAGGCTGGGGCAGGCAGGATTTTTAATGGCACACTGCTGCCTGCCGGGGTCCTGGCCTGGGTTTGGCAGCGGGCTGAGCGTGCCATAGGTTACTGACCCCTGCTCTAAGGCAGTTAACACCTGAGCACTAAATCATGGGTTCTTAAAGCACTTTACAAAGTAGTACTCTGTCTTTTCCTCGGTTTACAAATGGGAAACTCAAGGCATACGTAATTAAGATCTCTCAACACATACTTGACAAAGTTGAAAATAAGTCAAAGCTCCCACTCAGCGTACCTGATGGCAACAATACTTAAAATATGGTTCAAAAAAAGTTTACTGATTTGGACACAACTAGCTGCCAGATGAATGGACAGTGTGGAACTCTCAGCATTGCAGGAAGTCATGTACTTAAGTTACCTTACTGTTTATAAAAATGCCTGAAGTGTAATCGAGACAAGCACATGATATTTAAAAAGATTAAAGTTCTTATGTCAAACACAGCTATCTTGTTACAAACCAATATTTTATTAAATCAAATTCACATCAGCACTATCTGTTTTAAGGAAGTGCTAGTTTTTTCTCAAATGCTTAATATTTGTTTAAAGCTACAGAATGCTATGAACTTATCCAGTGCAAAGGTTACTACTTAAAGAATTCCCCATCAGAATGCAGAGATATGAAATCATCAGTTACTGGTGATGCATGTCTTCCTCCAAGACTGCGACAATGTGTGCAGCAGCGGGGCGCTGCTTCGGGTCCTCACACGTGCAGATGGAAAACATTTCAATCACTTTCTGGTATGACTGGTCCAGCTCCTCCATGTTCAGTGGTGGCCTGGTGCCCAGAGCTGCGTAATACGCCTCATCATCAAAGTCCTCTTCATCAAATGTTGTTTCTGGCAAAGAACATTTAAAACAAGTCAGCAGCAGTAATTGGCAGTCTTAATTGGAAAGTGAATGCCACCTTCTCAAGGGCCATCCATCCATTTAACCCATGCAGTCTTTTCCTCCTCTGAATGGGGGTTTGAAGGGTAGGGAGCAGGAGAACCACAGAACTGGTCCTTTGAAGAGTTGCTTGCCATTCTAGAGCCAGAGTTCAGCACATGCTACCTTAGATCTTGTTTGTTTTGCTTACAAGCCCATGGATCATCTCACATGCGGCAACGCTTCAGAAGCAGCTGGGCCTCTGCCACTTTGGTTTGCTGATTCAGTCCCTTTGCATTTACAGTCTACCACTTCAAACTATAATCAATCATTTGGTTTTCTAGACCCCCTCAGAAAAAGCGCCAACTGCGGACCGTTGGGACAAATGCAAAAGCCTCCCTGCAGTTACCACGTCTAGATACTTGCCAGCAAGCCATGTTTCCTGTTGGAATCTCATTAAAACAGGAACACCCCCCCAAGTGATTATACAGCTGCATGGTTTATAGCCAGGGAGATTCTGAAGTATTTCCAGAGATTTTTAAATACCAATTTGTAATTTCCTTGTTTAATTTACATGTTTACTCTTATCCCACTGAAGTCGGTTTCAGTACTGCTATCAGCTTCATTAGGATCAGATTCTACCTGAATGAAATTTTCTGTTAGCTAAGGTGAAAGTTTAGTGATTTTTTAAAAATCTTTTTTTAGTTGTCCAACTGTTAACTTTAAAGTCATATACTTCACTACTTCCCACAGGGTGTAACAGTCTTGGTCACACACCTGGTGTAGGCAAACCCTACTCCATCTTAAGAGGTGTGTTGAATGTCAGGATTAGGAAGCTCAGCGAGATGCCAACTGTGCTTATTTGTATGTCAATATGTTGACTGCTCTGGCACTTTGTGGAGATACTGGGGCTTGAGTTAGAGGAACAAAGAAAGCTCTAGGGTTGCTGCTGGACTGGACAGCTTGTTTGAAGGCCAGAGCAAAGGGAGTCATAGAATCATAGACTTTAAGGTCAGAAGGGACCATTATGGTCTAGTCTGACCTCCTGCATAACGCAGTCCACAGAATCTCACCCACCTACTCCTGTAACAAACCTCTAACCTATGTCTGAGCTATTGAAGTCCTCAAATCATGGTGTAAAGACTTTGAGGTAGAGAGAATCATCCAGCAAGTGACCGGTGCCCAATGTTGCAGAGGAAGGCGAAAACCCCCCAGGACCTCTGCCTTGGAGGAAAATTCCTTCCTGACCCCAAATATGGCCATCAGCTAAACCCTGAGCATGTGGGCAAGACTCACCAGCCAGACACCCAGGAAAGAATTCTCTGTAGTAACTCAGATCCCACCCCATCTAACATCCCATCACAGGCCATTGGGCATATCTACCGCTAATAGTTGAAGCTCAATTAATTGCCAAAATTAGGCTATCCCATCATATCATCCCTTCCATAAAAACTTAT